TGCCTGCCTCTGTCTCCCAAGTGCTGGGATTAAAGGCATGCACCACCATACCCTGCGATGTGTGTGTATTTTTATAACATATTCCACTAAGCAAAATAAGAGTGGTACTCAAAATTGTTAGCTGCATACAGGTACACAGGAGCTGCTTGGGTAGAACTTAGCAGGAATGGTTATTTTATGCAACTACTCAGCAGTATAAGGAGATGTAGGTATCATGGTCATGGTGGATGGAACTAGATGTTTTGTCTTTCTCACTTTAAATATGAGAAATATGAAACACTGAGAAGTCACATAAACTAACTTGCTTAGGTTAGATCTTTAAGATTCTCCTTGTTCCTGAATTCTGGTTTACTAAAGCTCAAAACAGTGCACTTCTCTGTAGAGAAACCCAAGCCTTATTAAATTCTAGCACTAATTGACAGCCACTTGTTTCTTGTGAGGGGAGAGTGAGCAAGGTCTAAAAGTGAGAGATGGTAACCTTCTTCTCCCTCTTTCCAGAGACCTTGTGACTTAAGGTCTTGGATGTACAAATATTATAGAGTGAGTTCTATCTGTTCAAAACTCTAATTAGGGTTGGCTGGGTTTCCTGCAGAGCCTTGGGTGCTGGCATGAGAGGTCACCATGGGGACACCCTGGGCAGGTATGGTTGTACACCAGATTTGGTTAGTTTCAGCTCAGACTCGTTAAATTCATTTACATTGCTGTTGTTTTATCCATTTTTTTCTAACTCCAAAACAGTCGACCTTTAAGCTGGGGATGGGAACTCATGCCTGTGATAGGCACTTGGGAGACTGAGGCAGGACCATTGTCACATGTTCCAGCCTAGCCTGGGCTGCAGAGTAAGAACCTGTCTCAAAAACCCAAACCAAATACAAACCAAAACAAATCTGCCTTAAAAAAAGGACGTGAATCTGGGAGGAGGGCCTGGGGTGGGAGCTCTAGGGGAAGCTGGAGGGAGGGAGGTAGTGGTGGATGGCTGAAACCAAAATACAGTGTAAAAATGTATGAAATTGAAAAAAAATTATAAAAATACAAGACTAGAATTCTGCCCATTTCATAGAGTTTTTTTTTTGAAGGTGAGCTCATTTAATAACACTTGAACACGATTTTGAAAATGAAGACAATCCTCAATGTAGGACTGTTTCACTTATATTTTTCAACTTATGACTGTTGTAAAAGTGATACACAGTCAGTAGAAACCATACTTTGAACTGTGATCTTTTCCTGGGCTGGTGAGAAGCACTGTGCTCCTCTTGTGATACTGGGCAGTAGCAGTGAGCCGTTCCTCCCCCTCAGCCATTCTACAGGGAGAGCATAGCCGCTGTCTGTGCTGTTGCTAAGCAATGGTGTTTGGTAGGTTGGTAGTATTAACTATATTTTTTCAACTTAATATTTTTCATTTATGATGAGCTTACTGGGATGTGACACCACCATAAATTGAAGAATATCTATATTTTTATTGTTACTATTTTTGTTTTATGTGTGTGAGTGTGTTGCCTGCATGTATATAAATGCACTCATGCCGTGCAATGCTTGCAGAGGTCAGAAAGGGGTGTTGGATTTCCCTGGAACTGGAGTTACAGATGGTTATTAGCCACCATGTGGGTGCTGGGAATTGAACCTGGGTCCTCTGCAAGAACAGCCAGTGCTCTTAACTGCTCAGCTATCTCTCTACCCCTAAGCATCTATATTTTTAAGACCTTTAAAATTATATTTAATGTCCTCTGATTACCCAAAGTACATTATTTGCAACAGTAGGGGTTAATTGGATCCCCTTTTTATAAAAGTTGTGGCAGGCTTCACTGCACCTGAAGTAACAAGTGGAATTTTGATGCTTTTAAAATGAACAGACTGCAGTATAAAGTTTTTCTCACACCTCTGTATAAGCTGAGGCATGTGGTATGGAAACTCTTTTGTGGCCAGATACCACTTCCTAGTGGTCAGTTGCCTGGAGGATCTAGGAAGCTAATGAAACGAAGTTCCTTCCCCACCACCCAGGCCACAGCTAATCCCCTCCAGTTGCACTAGCAGGCACTACGTCTACCCAGAATGTCCACTCTGCTCTGACTCATTAGGTAAACATGTCCATTCCAGGAGCAATATTTTCAAATTGTCTCAGTGAACTTAATTAGTTTTCTTGTACAGTATTTTCTCACTGGCTTCTTATTTTTTTTGATGGAGGATGATTCTAGGTCATTCTTTCTCTCTTAAACTAACAGAACTGATCTTATACTGTTCGTCTGGGTTTTCTTGGTTCTTAGTTCATGTGTGGTTCTAAAATCACAAGCATTTTTTACCAGGAACCTGACTTCATGTAACTTTGTTTCCTCTGTTCCTTTCCTTCAGAAAGGAGTGAATAATAGGAGACCTTTTTGTTGCCAGTGTTAATAGCCCTGGAGAGATTCCAAGCTGTCAGTTCTTTGGTCTGTTACACTGGCAGTATATTTGTTTCCACAAGCTGTCTTACACTTTCTTCCTTTTCTTCACAGCAGCACCACTAACTTCTTCTGACAGCTGTTATCACTTAGTGTTTCAGAACTCTTAATTTCTTTTCATCTGTAAAGTGGGAGGAAGTATTACTCTTTACCTAACAATCTTGTTTTGAGAATTAAGTGAGATTTTCCTTATTAAATTTATCTTGCACAATACTTGGCACAGAAATGTGCTCAGCAATTTTTTGGATACATGCACCTTTTTTTAAGTGCAAATAAATTATTTTAACCTTTCTCTATATATTTGAATGCTGTTGGTAGTAGGTACTAGGACTTGTTTTCACTGTCTTTAGACTGGCAGTTTCTTAAGCCAGCCTTTAGTCTTCAGTTCTGTCCTGAAGTAGGGCTTGTCAGTTCTCTCCTTCCATCTTTACATGGGTTCCAGGGTTTGAACTCAGGTCGTCAGGCTTGTTCAGCAAGAGCTTTTACACATTGAATCTTCTTGCTGGCCAGAAGTAGGACTTGAAATAAAGCCTGTTACGTTTTGTCTGCTCTGGTCTTATAATTTCCTGTTTTCTTTCCTCCCTTAGGATGAAGTTATGAAGGGTAGGTGTGTGTCTGTTGGGTTACTGGTATATTAGTTACTTTTCTCATTTCTGTGACAAAATATCTGACGAAAGCAATTTAAGGAAGAGATGGCTTATTTTGGTTCACAGTTTGAGAGTACAGTCAATCTTGGAAGAGAAGGTGTGGCAGCAGGAGCTTGAAGCAGCCAGTCTCATTGCACCCATAGTAAAGAAGAGAGATGAAAGGTGCTACACAGCCGCTTTTCCTCTTTATTCAGTCTGGGGCCCCAGCCCATAGAGTGGTAACACCGTATTTCAGGTGTGTCTTCCCAACTCAATTAGCCCCTTGTAGAGACTCCCTTCTAGACTTGCCCAGAGCTTTGCTTCCATGGAGACTCTAAATCTCATAAAGGTTAACTATCACAAGTGGGATACCTGTTGCTGTATACTGACTATCCAAATGATTAGTGACTGGAAACCACATCCCCTTCTCTTATTTTATTCTGCCAATTAGCTTATGTACTGGGGCAGTTATTCCTTTTGCCTCTCTCAGGGTCAGTAATTTGGTTGTAATCAGAAGACAGAGTCAAAATAGCTCTACTCCCCTGTGGACCCCCATCTCTATCTCTGTCTATGAAATCTCCACACAAGACCATCTGGGACATGTATATGGGGCAGCTAGATCAAAGAGCACAGTTAGCAGAACCAGGCCTTCCTGAAGCTTGTGCTGGGATTCAGGGTTGGAAGGGACTGCCTAAGTGTGAATTCTGGGAAATATGTTTGGAGATTCACTTCCCCTTGGATAAGATTCCAGTGCTGACCATGTTTGTTTGTTTGTTTGTTTGTTTGTTTATTGTCTTTTTGAGACAGGTCTCCCTGTAGCCCCAGCTGCCCTGGAACTCACTATGTCGACCAGGCTGGCCTTGAACTCACAAAGATTCGCCTGCCTCTTGACCATGTTATTTTTTAGTTACATTTATTTATTGTGTGTGGGTGGAGGTCAGTTCTCTCCTGCCATGAAAGCAATTCTGTGCTACTCTGTGGGTTCTGGGGATCAAACGCAAGTCATCAGGCTTAGCCGCAGGAGCCTTTATCACTGAGCCATCCTGCCATTCCCCCATGTTCTTTTTCTATCACCTTGTTCACAGTAGAATGCATTGCCTGTTGTGTTGGACTTACAGGGTTTTGAGTTAAGCAAGCAAATTGTTATTGCAAAAACAGAATACTAATATACAGCTAAGTACAAATAAAATATTGACATAATAAGAATAATTATACCAATCAGCTATTATGCCACGCTACTGGCTTTCCAAGTGAGCAGGCACACTGACACTAGAGGTTAGATGTCACTCTGAATGAAACACTGAAATGTTACCTGTTTTGACTTTCTGGGTTCAAGTTGTGCTCAGGATATCAGCCTGGGCATTGATGCCATTAGCTGGGTGGAAGACATTTAAAAAATGCATTTCTTCACACAGCTCCTATTACTCCTCTTTCCTCTCTGCAGTTCCTTTTGAAACAAATACAAAAGCAGCTACAGCTACACCTTCCAAAGCTACTCAGAATGATGAAAGAGACCCAAGAGACAGTTCGGAATCTGGCTTGCTGAGCTTGTTTCCAGGGAAGGTGCATTCCAGTGCAGTGGAATTGCCACTGGAGAAAAATGTCTCTGTCCCCGATGCACCTATTATACTGAGCCCCCCTCAGACCCACACACCAGACACATACAACCTGGTGTGGAGGGCAGGGAGGGATGGAGGACTGCCCATCAATGCCTATTTTGTGAAGTACCGAAAGGTAACACCTTCCCATTTATCATCTTTCTCTTCTTACTCCTTTACCGTGTGTGTGTGTGTGTGTGTGTGTGTGTGTGTGTGTGTGTGTGAGACATCTGCTTATTATGTGTTACATTGATGGAAGGATAGAAAATCAGAATTTTCTAGAATGAGTTTATCAAGATGTCCCCATCAGTCACACAGGATTGACCAACCATTCTTATAACAGCAGTAAGAATGAAGTATAAATATTTTTTTCCCAAATCGAATTCTAAATTCCAAGTGACCATGTAACAATTTCCCTTCCTCCTCCCGTCCCTTCTTCTTTCCCTCCATCCCTACCTTCTCCTTCTGTCTCCTGGGGATGGAACCTAGAACTTGGAGCTAGGTCAGTGATGTACCTCTGAGCTATACCTCCAAGCCCCCACCATTTAATATTTTCTGTCAAACCTCTTGTTTTAACCCCTTGAATGTCAAGCTTTATGAACTACTTTTAAAACTATAATTCTATCCCTTGTTAAGATGGTAAAATATAGTTACTCATCAAATAAAATAGTTTCTTATTAGAATAACTGAGCAAGGACTTCTGGCACTGTCTGTGGCTGTTGTTTGCACTGTGGCTATCTTCCTTTTAAATTGTTTATTTATTTTCAGTCAACCTCGGGCCTCTATCTGTTGGTTCTTCAGATATTTTTTCCCCTGAAGGCCTGTATTAAAACAAAATAAAAAAGCTCCTCTCTTATTTAATGGTATTAAGAAATGAGTGGAATGGGAGGAGATGAACTCATATTTAAGCTCTTTCTTTTCAAAACATTTTGGTCTATATTCTTTAATTATTGTCTAATGACTAGAAGAAAATAATCAAGTGCTATTGGTAAGTATATCCACTGGTTCTAATCTGAGGATTCTAGATAAGGAAAGTAAGACTTGCTCAGAATCTTACCTACCTACCTGAAAGCCTCTGTGTGATGTTGTCTTTTGGTTTTATAAACTAAGAAACAACTGATTGGATCTCTTATTTCTTCCAAAACACCTTGAACAGTATCAAGACACATGGCAGAAGGCTGGCAGTATATGATCCATAATTATTCATATAGACACAGTTAATGTCTGTGTATCTATTTTGTGTTATAAATACCAATAATATTACATGTGCATTTTATTCTTCCATTAATCCAGTAAGAAAGGCAATATTGTCCTCACTACAGGTAAAGGCAGAAGACTTTCAGATCATCAATAGGACCAGGCAACTTTATAGTGAGAACTGTGTATTCTTACCCCTTATGTTTCTTAACCTGAGAAGCATTGTGACTCTTTCTTACAATGATACATCGTTTCTGAAAACTTCTCTAGAATTATATGTGCTCTAGTTTTTATGTAGTTCGGAGTGAAGGTTTCCTGCCCTCTATCTCTTATTGTTCTGTGATTTTCTCTGAGCAGCTGGATGATGCTGCTGGCACAGTGGGCAGCTGGCATACAGTTCGAGTCCCAGGAAGTGAAAATGAGCTCCATCTAACTGAACTGGAGCCATCAAGTCTTTATGAAGTTCTAATGGTGGCAAGAAGTGTAGCTGGTGAAGGACAGCCTGCCATGCTTACCTTCCGGACCAGCAAAGGTGAGTGTCATCTTTCATCAGAGTGAACTGGCTACTAGTTCACTCTGCCATCCTAGTAGTAAGAATCCCTTTGTGCACTAGCAATTCTAAGATATAAATCAACAAAACAAGTGTATTATAGCACCTTTTTTTGAGCCATATTTGGGTGATATTCCATTCAAATATTCCACACATGTTCTTGCAAACTTTTTTTTGAAGTAGACCCAATCTAGTCTGTCTTTTTTTTTTCTTTTTTTAAAAATAATTTTATTGAACTTTTGAGAATTTCATATAGTGTATTTTGATCATATTTAGATACCCGCCCCTGTCTGCATCACCCTTACTACCCCCTCACTCAATTTCATGTACTCTATTAAAATTAAATATATATATATATGTGTATATATATATATAATATGTCCGCTAATGTGGACCATCCGTTGGAGCCTACCAGGAATCACATCTTTTAAAAGAGAAATGACTCTCCCCTTCCCAGCAGTCATTGGTTTCCAAAAGTTCCTCAGGTAGTGTTAGGGTTTTGTATTGTACCTACTTCCCCACATCTGTGTGGGATTTTTGTCTGACTTGAGCTTATGTAAGTCATGTGGATCTTGTGCATGCTGTCACCATTGCTGGAGTTCACATGAGTAACTTCCCAACTGTCAGAAAAACTGTTTGCTTGTGGTCATCCACCATCTCTGGCTTTAAAAATCTTTCCACCACCTCTTCTTCAATGATCCTGAGCCTTTGGAGGGAGAAGTTTGATAAAGGTGACCTGTTCAGGGATAATAACTCTGCACATTGGCCAGTTGTGACTTTCTCTGTTAATCACCATCTGCTGCATAAAGAAGCTTCTCTGGTGAGAGCTGAGAGATGTGTTAATCTATGGGTATAACAATAACTCATTTGGAGTTGATTTAATACTAAATCCATTTAGAAGAATAATTGTATTAGGCTCTCCTCAATGGCCTGTGGCCTGTCTAGTTATACGTTTCTAGACCTGATATCAATGTCAGGTATGGGCTCTGTCTTATGAAATGGACCTTAAATTCAATTAAAATTTGCAAATTCTTGATAAGCAACATTAAAATGCATGATACGGGAAAATCACAGATGATCAAGATAAGAACCAGCCCAGTGGAGCTTACACTCTGGTGTGGATACTTAAATCACAACTCCAAGAGAAAAGTTAATTCGGCTCTAGTACTTATCAAATGCTGTCCATGTGTTGGGCAGTACAAAATAACACTTCTTACTCTTGTGAACCTCACATTTTAGATGGGAGAAACAGAGACCTAAGTTCTAAGTACATTAAGGGGTAGTGTTAATGAGAAATAACTTCAGGGATGAACTGGCAGGTGTCTGGGCTGGGTTGTACTTAAGTAGGTGACCAGGGGTGTCCTTGTTGTGTAGTCCATAGTGAGAAGTTTAAAGGAGCAGAAGTGGAAAGCCATGTACATGTGAAGGGAAACAAAGTTCCTGGTAGATAGACTGACAGGCAGCAAGACCCAAAGAGATGTGTGTTTTGTATACACCTCAGGAACACTAAGAGGGTCATGGTGATGGGAGCAAAGTGGGAAGGTTGGGGGTTGGTGACAGTGGCCCAGTCACACAGCATCTGTGGAACTTGCCAGGGCTTTGCCAGTGACTCCCAGTGAGCTGGGAGGAGGTAGACCATTTGGGCTGGAGTGATGGGGTCCACTTATTCTAATGGGTTAGTTCCAGCTGTGGGATGCCTGAGGAATGGAGGCTGGTGGGGAAGGCAAAGTCACCAGAATGTGACAAGTACCACAAAAGAGTTCCAGAAGGATCTTCTTCCTGATGAGCAACCCGTGAGGAAAGCCTAAGCATTAGCAGCATGGCCCAAATGAATGGAGCAACTTCAGTGTGTAGAGAGGGGAACCCTGCAGAAGACTGTTCTAATAGGTGCTGTTAACAGTCTATGTGGGCTGAGAAGGTGTCATCCAGTGACCTTGGAAGAAGACCTTCCATATAATCACTGGTCAGAAATAATGAGCGCTTCCTATTTTAAATGAATCTTCAGTTAAATTTCCACCACTAGTTCCTAGTTATTTATAGTCTGACCTGTAAACACCGAATAATTGTGTTTTAGCTTAAAATCTTAAAAAAGCAAAAATAAAATAAAAACTCAATTTCATTTTTTGCCTGTTGAAACATTAAAAGTTAATGTGGCCGGGTGTGGTGGCACATACCTGTAGTCCCAGCACTCGGGAGGCAGAGGCAGGCAAATCTCTGTGAGTTCAAGGCCAGCCTGTTCTACATGGTGAGCTCCAGGCCATCTGGGGATACAGGAGACCCTGTTTCAAAAAGACCAAAAAACAAAAAGTTAATGTGATACTTTTCTGTGGGGGAAAAAATCATTAACAAAAACTCTCCAGTTTTGAATTTTATTTTGGAATGACTACATACATAGAGCAAAAAGGAAAAAAAAAAAAGGAAAAAGGACTCAGAAGAGCCTTCACTTGAGTCCTCATTCACTTGAGTTCATTTGGCATTTTTGCTGTTTTTTTTCTGTGTGTCAATTAAAGAAAATTAAAAGATAATACCACAAAGAAATATGGGTTTTGGCTTTCTCTTAGTGATACTAGAGAAAGGCAAAGTAACTTTGTGCCAGTTCTTAGAGTATTTATAATGAGGTGTTGTATTCAGACATGGGAAGGTATATATCTATATTCTATTTATGCTTCATAGTACTGGCTTTTTAAATTTTACATGCATAAGCTTTTTTTTTGGTGTTTGTGTAGCATTGTTTTTTATTTATTTATTTTTTTTTAATTTTTTTTTTACAATTAAAGTTACAGTTTTAACAATATGCAAAATATTATAGTAATTCAGATTTTTTGGCATAATCATTACATAAGCTTTTATTACATGTTTAAAATAAACCTTTCTAGAAAAAGCAGCATCTTCAAAAAACATCCAGGTGTCCTCTCCACCCGTGGGCATCCCTAAACGTCCTGTTATCTCAGAGGCTTCAAACAACAATTTTGGAGTGGTGCTTACAGATTCCTCTCGGCATAGTGGAGGTAAAGAAAAGAATCTTCATTTTATTTGTTTGTTTATAAATGTCACTATTTAGACTTATGGGGGATAAGATAGAACGGGGCATTTCTTATTTAGGTTCTGTCCTACCCAGCATAGCTTTTTTTTTTTTTCCACATGTGTGTGTATGTGTGTAGGGGGGAATTTGATGTTGAGTGTCTGCCTCCATTTCTGTCCACTGTATTTTCTGAAGCAGGGTCTCTCATGGAACTCGGAGCTTGCTAATTCTGGCTAATTTAGCCAGCCAGCTTGCTGGGAGATCCTGTCTCTGCCTCCTGAGTGCTGGGATTATAGATGGCTTCCATATCTACCTGGCTTTTTAAGTGGGTTCTGGGGATCCAAACTCCTATGGTAGACCAAGCTGCCCTTGATCTCACAGAGATCCACTTGCCTCTGCCTCCCAAGTGCTGGGATTAAAGTCATGTGCCACTATACCCAGTTCACCTATTTTTTTTAAAGATTTCTTTTTAGTTATATGTGAGTATGTACATGTGAGTATGTACAGATGCCTGTAGAGATCAGAAGTGTCAGAGTCCCCTGGAGCTGGAGTTACAGGTGGCTTCGAACTGCCCAGCATGCTTGCTGGAAGCCTCCCAAGTGCTGGGATTAAAGTCATGTGCCACTATACCCAGTTCGCCTATTTTTTTAAAGATTTCTTTTTAGTTATGTGTGAGTATGTGCATGTGAGTACAGATGCCTATAGAGATCAGAAGTGTCAGAGTCCCCTGGAGCTGGAGTTACAGGTGGCTTCTAACTGCCCAACATGCTTGCTGGAAGCCCAGCTCTTTTTTGTAAGAGGAGTACACATTCTGACCATCTCTCCAACCATTTCCAATGTCCTGGATTTAAACTTTGAGTTTAGTGCCATGATTTGTGTTTGACTTTAAAAAATATTCTATTACTACATTTTTATAACTCAGAAAAAGGTTTTTTTCTATCTTTGGCAAGAAAACTAAATTTATAATTTGAATTCTGAAAATCTCTATATATGACTGTGTTATAAGAGGAAGTGAGACTAACTTATCCAAATGTATAGTATAATGATAAATTTATTTTAAATTTATTATAAATTTAATGATAAATTATTTTACCAAAAAATTACATGTCATATTTTTTATTGCTGTATTTAGTTAATCTTAATGGCATTTAAATGTCTGAGCAGTAAAGTTTTCAAAAAAAAAAGCTTTTTTGTAGTATTTAAATTTCACGTTTGTCAATTTGAGCCTAATATGATTTAAGTGTGTGTCTGTGATCTTGAGATTAAAGCCAGGGCCATGTGCATGTTAGGCAAGTGCTGAACCACTGAGCTACATGCTCTGCCCTCTAATCTACTTTTTGCAATTATGGCAATAAGTCAGGACATCCAGGGAGGGATTAACAGTAGTTGTGAGCTGTGAGTTTCCAGACTTCCCTTCCATATTTTTATAGTTTTCCATGAGTTGGTCTCAGACAAAACCATAACCTAACATTTGAACTGCCCTCTTCAATGTCATGAACCAGGGGACTTTCACTTCAGAGCTACAGTTCAGTTAACTAAACACATTACTATGTGAATATCCACTTTATGAGAATAAAGCTAACATCTGAAAAGCAAATACTTACCTACTTATTTAACCCACTAACTACCACAACAGCAGAGCTAAAATAATCCTTGCTTTCCTGGATTTAAAGTATAGAGGATGATGCAGACATCTGAACCCATCCCATTGTGTAGACAGCTAAAAGAAAAGAAGAGACAGCTAAAATAGCAGTAGGGTTGAAAATATAGACAGATATATCAATAACAACAATTTTGTTTATTTTTTATTATATCCTTGGTGTTACAGAATCTCAGGAGAGATACCGAGAAGGGCATATAGTGGCTCACTAGGCTCCTTGGCATCCTGAGCTAAGCCTCAGAGGACAAGAACGATGCATTCAGATGAAGGAACAGGAATGACAGAGACATCTCATACAAAAGATAGACAGATGGCATGTCCCTTTTAGTGTAGAGAGAGAGATTTGATTTTGTGTGACTGGTTACTGAAGAGGATGATGCTAGTGTGAGGAAACAAGTAGGTGCCTGTGTCTTGTATGATATTCTTAAAAGTGTAATCTTGGCTGGTGAGATGGTTCACTGGGTAAAGGCGGTTGTTGCCTGACAGTCTTGACTTTGTTCCCTGGAAAACAACTCCTGCAAGTTGTTCTCTGACCTTCTTCACGCATGTGCTGTGGCACATGCCCCTGCCCCATAATCAATCAATCATAAAAAAATTTAAATATAATTTTTTCCTGGGAGCTATGAAGAGCACTAAAGGATTTTAATGAGGAAGAAGGAAAGAATAGCAAAAGATACAGCTAGAGAAATATCAAAGATAGCACCAGTGAACAAGGGGAAGGAGGGCATAAATGAGAGGGAGGAAGAGGGTACCTCAGGCTTGAGCAACTAGAGACCATTTACAAGGTGAACAGTAGATTTCAGGTGAAAACTATGGATTTAGGTGATGAGTTTGGAATTCTTCAAGCAGAAATCACTATAAGGATGATTTGTTCGCTCTTTGAGAAATGACTTTATGGGGAAGATAGCATATCTGTTTTACAGATGAGGAAACTGAGGCTCCAAGATTTTACAGTATGCTAGACAGTAGTGGGGCTTGGTATTCAAATCCAGATATTCCAGCTCCAAAAGCAGTTGTTAAAGGTCATGTGAAAGACACTAAGTATGTTCTTTTCTGTGTAGCTATTCTCTTCAATGACTTTCTTTTCCTATGACCTGTGCTATTTGGTGAGTTTGAACCTCATATTGTCACCCTAAGGAAGTCGTTTGGTTTTCCATAATTAAAGAGATGCACTAACATTTCTGCTCATTCTGTTTCCGTTGCTTTCTAGTGGAATGGCATATAGTAAGTATCACTCACAGTTGCCTGCTGAATGCATCCTCTGTGTATCCCGTAAGCCATTTGTTTTTTAAACACCCCCTTTTTTTTCTATGCAAGTACCATGTTCAGTGTCGTTTTCTTCTTTCTTATGTGTTGGTAATGGGGCTTGAAGAGATGCTGAGGCACAGCAGGAATTGAGAAGCATGGTCTCAGTAGAAAGAGGACTTCTTCCTTAGTGGTTTCACCAACCGTGGCCCAGAGTTGGCCTTCCATGGCCAGCTTTGGAAGCTCTATTGTCAGCATGCCAAAAAGAGCCATTGGCCTCCTGAGAACCAGCTGTTAAGGGAATTCACAGGTTACTGACATAAAACAGAGTGACAGTTTACTAGGGTGCAGTGTAATCGTCCTATGGGCCATCATTGTCAGAACCACAAAACCATTGGAACCAGTTATAACCACTGGATGGCTTGGTCAGGGGGAGGCGAGAGGCCTGCTCCTGATGTTTCCATATGCCATGGGCTAGTCCATCTAACATGCTAGCACCTGTCCTTGGCAGTGCTGGTGAACATTTGCTCTCCAGCTCCCTTCCTGCATGTTTGTCTACATCGCCTTTCTGATGGCACTTCTCCCATCTTCCCCCTCTTAACCTGAGCTCGTTCTCTCCTTCCGTTGTTATCAGGATTGATTTGTCAGTCAAATTTCATCTGTACTTGTGCTTACAGTCTTTATTTTAAAACAGCAATTCTTACATCTTGAGATATGTTAAAGGCGAACAGCATAGTTAATAATAATCAGCAGGTTACTAATGTTTTATGTAGTTTGGATGGACAAAGAAAAACATTTAAATAATACAACAGTTATAAGAACTTATTGTATACTGTAACCAGAATCAGACTTGAAGTACCAAATAATTACTTATACATTACTTTAGTCATTAATCTAAAATAGAATAATAGAAATTGTCTACTTTCTACTTTCAGTCTTTTCTAGTTAAGTAGTGAGTCTGTAATTGTTTGACTTTTTCCTTCCTTCTTGATTCCTGTATTTCATTTCCTGTAAATTTCATTATTGAGAACAGGGCATAGCTGTAATATTATTAACTAGGACAAAAAGCTTTTTTGAGGGGCTGTTAGTAACACAAGGTTTGGGATTTATGCCTTATAGTTTGTTTAGGTTATTTTTGTCTCTGACACCTGATGACAGCAAAATGAATGTTCATTTTCAGTCCCAGAGGCGCCAGATCGGCCTACTATCTCCACTGCATCTGAGACCTCAGTCTACGTCACCTGGATTCCCAGGGCAAACGGGGGGTCTCCCATCACTGCCTTCAAGGTGGAGTATAAACGGATGAGGACTACTGATTGGCTGGTGGCTGCTGAAGATATCCCTCCTTCCAAGCTTTCTGTGGAAGTTCGTAGTTTAGAACCAGGTAGAACTACTTTCCCCTGCTCACCCCATGCACACTTGTTAAAGTAACAAATGCTCATTGTGAAACATTTTGAAAATAAAACTGGAAGAAGAGAACGAGTTTCCTAAAATCTGTCTGTCTGCAGACAGTGTTTATATTTTGGTATATGTCTCTTCTAGCCTTTTTTTCTCTTTCTTAATTTTCCTTGGAATTATGCTATAAATATTGTTTTGCATTCCCCCATTGTATGTTTACCTTTTGTAAGTATATCATAATTTGTTTAACTATATTTCACTTAGGAGTGGTAGGAATTGAATTCAAGGCCTTGTGCATGCTAAGCGAGCACTCTACCACTGAGCTGTATCCCTGCCCCTTCACCATTCTGTTTCTGGATTCTAAATAGTTTCTACAATCCCATGTCTCCCAAAATCTTGAGCTTATATAAAAGAGATTAAACCATTAAGAGAGAAAAAGCATAAGTGAACTTTTGTTTGTGTTTATGACAACCTCTGCTTCTAGAGTTTTGCACGTACACTAGTGTAACAGATGTCTATTTCCAACCCAGTATCATAAGGAGCAGATGTAGTTAGTTAGTTCTAAATACAAGCTCAGTAACCTGTGTGGCATGGTGCAGATGTGGGATGGTGCAGCATCTGCTCTCAGCTGCATGGCATGGTGCTACTCTAGAAATGTATTCTTTATCAGACCTCACTTTCAAAGTGAAACGAATCTAGTTTTGGGGATAGATATTTCAGCTAGTACTATCTTTGATGGATATAATTTCAAATGAAAGGGCAAAAAGGACGAATATTCTCTTAGCTGTTCTTTGTCCGCTCCCTCTGTGAGCACCATTAAGCTAATGCTAACATTCATTCCCAGTAACTCCTAATGCTTCTTGGGGTCTTGAACATGAGATGTTGAACAGCCTCTTTGAGTTGAATGAAATTGGCAAGTGAGTTAAAAGCAATTTATAATATATAGGCATTGGAGTATGTTATTGTTATAGTAAATAGGCTCTTAAAAACAACTGCCATATTTTCAGTTTCTTACTTTGACTTATATAACTAAGAAAATAATTTTCCACTGAGCTGCATCCCCAGGCCATTAAAACATTACTATAGATTTTTATAGTTACATGTTTTTGTTGTTGTTGTTGTTTTTGTTCCCCTGACCCAAGGTTCAACATACAAATTTAGGGTCATTGCTATCAACCATTATGGCGAGAGTTTTCGGAGTTCAGCATCCCGTCCTTACCAGGTAGCTGGCTTCCCCAGTCGTTTTTCCAACCGCCCAATAACTGGACCTCACATCGCATACACAGAAGCCGTCAGCGATACTCAGATTATGTTAAAGTGGACGGTACGTGAGTGAACATCTTCTTAATGAGATTTCATGTCAACAATATAGTGTTCTCATAGTATGATAGATACTGTTAGAAACAAATTGTTGAACTTTTAATTGAGGGGAAGGGGAAGGGTATCAATATTTGTCTGAAGCACATACTCTAAGAGAAATAGGGTTAAAAATAAAATTATTCTTTCCTTTGCTATCCTCCAAGTGTTGTTAATTGCTATTTTATGATTTATTCTTTTTGAACTAAGAGTATATTTATTTATTATTTATTTATTTATTTATTTTTTGATCTTTTTTGAGATAGGGTTTCCCTGTAGCCCCGGTTGTCTTGTAACTCACTATGTAGACCAGGCTGGCCTTGAACTCACAGAGATCCACCTGCCTCTGCCTCCCGAGTGCTGGGATTAAAGGCATGCGCCACCACACCTGGCTTATTTTATTATTTTTATTTTATGTGTATGAGTATATTGCCAGCATGTAGGTAAGTGCACCCGTGTCATGCAATGCCTGCAGAGGACAGAAGATGCCATTGGATCCCCTGGAACTGGAGTTATGGACAGTTGTTAGCTGCCATGTGGGTGCTGGGATTCAAACCCAGGTCTTCTGCAAGAACAACCAGTGTTCTTAACCACTGAGCCATCTCTTCAGCCCCAAGTACATTTATTTTTTAACCTAATGAAGGGAAACACTCAGGAGGCAGAGGCAGATCTCTGTGAGATCAAGGCCAGCTGGTCTACATACAAGTTCCAGGCCAGCTGGGGCTATAGGGAGACCGTGTTTCAAAACAAAACAAAAAGAACCTAACAAAGGGTATTGTTTTATTTTTGTTTAGTTCTGTAGTAAGTTAAATGCTCATATACTTTTAATATTTCTGAATTAAGTTAAAAAATGCTCATAACATGTACTTGTAAAATGAAGCTAGCAAAATATTACCACATACATCAGGAAATCGTAATGGATGTTGCTTTCATTTTTATCTTTGATCAATCTTTGCTTCTATTTTCTAGTATATTCCATCAAGTAACAATAATACGCCTATTCAAGGATTTTATATCTATTACCGGCCAACAGATAGTGACAACGACAGTGACTACAAGAGGGATGTTGTTGAAGGTGGGGCCCCTGGGCAGGCTGGGGTCTTCAGAGGAGCTTTGGGGAGGGAGGGTCATAAGTATCATGACTCATCAGCACAGGCTAAGATTGAGTCAGAAATAAATTGGTATATGTTGTTGAATTTGTCCTAATGAAATCAGATTTTCCCAATTCAGTGTTATATATATGCATTTTTGTTGTAGACACAATTATACAACGTAGGGTTCGTTAGCATTTAATCTGAAAAAGATTGTGACTTCTGCTTTCTTTAAATGACCAGTGATCTGAATGTAAAAATCAATTGCAACTTCTTACTCAGTATGTTGATCTCTGTGTTAGGAAGCTTCATGTGAAACGGAAACATCTACCCACCTTAAGAGATGTTGAGAAGTTGAAATGTGTTGTATAGAAAAAAGAGAACGGCCAAGGTGTGAAGGGTGTTGAAACTGCTTTTCTGCTACATTTAAAGTAGTGTTCCTGTGGCCTGCTGGTATGACCAAGTTGGCTGGTCTCCACCCTTAGCTATGTTTCTTGCATCTTTTCTCATTGGAGTTATTCATACCACCCACCTTCTTTTGCTTTCGTCTTATACACCAAGATGTTTTCTCCTCAGACCCTTGGTATAGGGTAGTTCCTGCCTCCCACTCTTCCCCTCTCCAAACATTTTTATAGCTATTGTCACTTTTCTCAGTTGCGTGTTTACATGTCTCTTACACCAAATCTTCTCTGGCATTCTAACTAAAAATAAACTTTTTATGATTTCCTAGAGTCTAATCAGAGTCTAAATATACAAGCATGGGTGTTTTAAAATTATTTGTCTCCCCTACTAAATATTAACTTCCTTTGGGCATGAGATCTTTGTTTCCACTCCTGTGTGCTCAGCCCCTTAGATGGAGAGGGGTTCAGTATCAGATGAAAAGACCTATGAATGGAGCTCCCTAAAAGCAAGTGAATGTCTGGTGATGTTCAGGCTGGAAAAAAGGAGTAGCATGAGCATGGTCTTCAAGTGCTTAAAGGCCTTTTTGCTAGAGAGGAGAAAAGTCAGTTGGAATAGGACTTGTTACAAGGAAATAATATAAGAAAAAGCTTTCTAACATAACCTGTCTAGGTTCCTCACAAGGAGATAGACTCCCTGAGTCTGGAAGTGTTGAGTAGATTCTAGATACCTAATTCTTATCTTAGATGGGATTTTTGGTTTGGGAGGAAAATGTCCTCCAAGATCTGTTTTCAGTCCAAGAGTTCGATTTTTTAAAATAGTGAATGTCTTGGTTGGGTGTATAGTCCAGTGGTAGAACATTGTGGTTAATTTGTGCCAGGCCCTGGGCTCTATCCACAGTATAAATAAATAAGCAAACACATAAATAAATACTGGCAAACAGATTTTGTCAGAAAATCGCCCTCAGGCTAGGATTTACCATATGACTTGCTGCCATCAGATACAGAGCTTTTAAAATTAGTTTTAAGTATATCATACCACCTTAAGTATTATAGCATTTCTTTTTACTATTCAATGGAATTACTTTTGTAATGTAATGACAACTTTGTGATCTGAATTTTTATGCTCAGTGTGGTGACTGAACAATGAGGACACTTTGAATAAAGGAATGGTTCTTTCTCCTGCCATAATTTAAAAAAATTATTTATTATTTTTATTTGATGTGTATGCATGTATTGCCTGCATGTAGGTAAGTACACCTGTGTCGTGCAGTGCCCACAGAGGTCAGAAGAGGCTGTCGAGTCCCCTGGGACTAGAGTTACAGACAGTTGTTAGCTGCCATATGGGTGCTGGGATTCAAACCCGGGTCTTCTGCAAGAACAACCAGTGTTCTTAAAGATTGAGCCATCTCTCCAGCCCCATCTCCTGCCATAATTTTTAATGGCAAGCCTGCTTGTATTCTTAGCAGTCAAGACAGAAGCCATCTTTTGGGAGAGAAGTGACCACAAGGAGCCTAGAGGACATTAGGATGCTAACAAGAGTCCTCTTTGGTGTTGAGATATTGGTACCCTGGGTGTATTTGGTTTTGAATGTTCATTGAGTGGTACAGTTATGTGTAGCTTATCTGTGTGCATGTTTTACACCAATTATAAGGCTGTTAAAGAGAATGAAAGATATTGTGACTTCTGCATTTTCATCCTATTCAAGTCTTCATTTTAGTTCAGCTGGTTAAAAGAATGGGTGTATATGATTTTTATCCTTAATTTTTTTTCACACTGGTTGTCAGTGTTATAAGATGGTTCTAAACAAGGCAGATATAAATGAATAGCTGTGTCTTTATGGTTCCTTCTTCCCCACCTCCTCTAGTTGTGCTTTTTAGGAATCCCTGCTAGTAAACACTTTTTAAACTGTATTCCTTAGACAAATCTTTGAGCTTTACAAACCTCTGTGATCTAAATGTTGAGCCTGGGACTTGAAACGAGTTTAACAAAGCCTTTGGATCCAGTGGTGCTTGCAAATGTTCGTTTCCTAGTTCCTGGAAAGTTTGTTTATAAATGCAATGCACTGAGTAGTTAGATGTTTAGGTGGGCTCCACTGTGCTGTGTAATTTGCTTATGCCTTATTTTCAAGCTTATGCATTTGAAATTCTTTTTGTGGGAGTTGGAACTATCGGTCTGTTCTCCTAAAGCTTTCTTTGAAGATTTTGGTTACTTATGTGTGTACTAATCCAAAATTTAGGCTTTAAAAAATTGAAATAGCCCTTGGGAGGCAGAGGCAGGCAAATCTCTGTGAGTTCAAGGCTAACCTGGTCTACATATGAGTTCCAGGACAGCTGGGGCTACAGGGAGACCCTGTCTCAAAAAGACCAAAAAAAAAAATTGAAATAATTATAAAGAATATAATAAAAACAGTTAATGCTGCACTTAAATAAAGTATACATGTTCCCTGCGTACCAGTGCTCTTATGTTGAAGATTTTTATCTTGTAACATCGAGTCAAGTTCCAAACAAATCAGAGTAGAAAGGTAATGCTGATCTTTAGTTTTGTGCTTTTGGTTTAGTAAAGGGTATGTGCTCATTGATTGGTTTTAAGCCCAATAGTGCACTTGGTTGTCTTACCAGAGATCAAAAATTCCTCCTCTTTGCTGATCTATAATTGTTGACTTTGGAAGAAGCCATGACAATGGAATATAAATCTAACAAGATGTGCATTTTGACTGTTTTCCCTTAGAAGCATAGCAGAAGCCTATTTAATTCCACTTCTACAAGTTCTATGAAAAGAAAACTTTAGTTCTAAGGTAGGTGTTTTTAGTAAGTATAACCAGGTCAGGAAAGATAGGAAATATTTAGATTGTAGAAATAGGTCTATTCCAGTTTCAACCAGTTCTCAATTAAAAAAAAATTGGAGGGAGAGTCTCCTTACTTATATAAATGAAGTATAGAATTCTTCCCTCTTTGAGCCTTTTAGAGAGCCTTGATCCTAAACAAGCAGATTTTTGCCCCTGTGAAAGAGTTTATGAGTGAGAGGTTTTGTGCTGGTGACTTGGAAAGGTGACTGAGCTTCCATATTGAAATGTTTTTGTCTGTGTTGAATTAGAAAGGAGCCTGTGATACTAATCCTGTCAGCCAAACTGATTTGACTTCTGTGTGTGGTTTGGTTTTTCCTGCTCCCTTTAATTAATTCTTAAATCAGTTGGTGGTTTACTTGGATTTCTAAGAAACAGTGGAAACAGTTTGAAGAGTCGTCTTCTAAGAGGGATTAAGAGTTCTTGAAGAGTTAATTAAATCTGGTAAAAGGGCCCCTGTTTATGAAAGTTTGTCACAGGTCCATGGAAGTGAAAACGGAGAATGATTTACACTGGATTGCTCAGTTTGGAAGTGTTTCTAAATGAAATGTTGGCTGTGTGCCATGGATAACAGAGTCCCTTTAGTAGAGATACTTGTGTGGTTCAGAGACCCAGACTCAAAAGAACAGTGGTCTTGGAAGTAGCAGCTGAGGGCTTCCCATAGCAGTGTGCTTCCTATGGATCCTCAGCGATTTTTCAAGGAATCCAGTCATCTGTCAGCTCATGGCGTACCCATGGCAGTGGAAGTGAGAGCTGCGCAAAGGCCTTTCTTGGTCCCTTGCTCTGGGTGAGGTGTTGCTTTTTTAGTGGGTGGACAGAGTGGATGGCCTTGCTAGGCCGAAATAGGGACTGAGGACTTGAGATGTTTTTCACTTACACATGAAGTTAGCTAAAGACACTCCACTAATTTATAATAAATACTTCTGCCAGTGCACGCATACAACTTATTTGTTTATCTCTTTATCTGTTTTATATGTTATGTAATAGAAATACTGTTTATCCCTGATTCATTACTAAAATACTTAAACAAAGTTTATTTTTATTGCATAAACTACTAAATGGTGAGGGATGCTGCACCAGTCTCATTCGGAAAATACCATATAACCCCTTTGATGTTTTCATGGCTATCATCTCTCTTTTCTAGGGTCAAAGCAGTGGCACATGATTGGTCATCTGCAGCCTGAAACCTCCTATGACATTAAGATGCAGTGCTTTAACGAAGGTGGGGAAAGTGAGTTCAGCAATGTAATGATCTGTGAGACCAAAGGTAGGAGAGCGATGAAAGTTTGCATTTCTCTTTGGCTCCTGCTAGAATTCCAGACTCTGGATTACTTCTTTGACTTATTGGTATATTTCTTTGTGGAAATTACTGCTTTGGGCCAGTTTTTAGATGTATGTAGTTAGGCTGCCTCCATATAATATAATGTGTTGGCTAGAGCATTTATCTAAAAATAAAAAATTATCTAAGCACAATTTTATCTATTAATTTCCATGTGGCTATAAGTAAGTCACTTTCCTTCTCTTTTTCTCCATAAAAAGGGTAGAAATAGTTGGCGTGGTGGTACACGCCTTTAATCCCAGCACTCAGGAGGCAGAGGCAGATGGAGCTCTGTGAGTTCAAGGCCAGCCTGGTCTACATAGTGAGTTCCAGGACAGCTGGGGCTACAAAGAGACCCTGTCTCAAAAAGACCAAAAAAAAAGGGGGGGAGTAGGAAATATTTGCCAACTCTTTCTATGAGAATTGGAATACGAGAAAATGAGTGTTATGAGTATTGAGGAAAAGTCCTATACATGTGTGTTAAATCCATATGCTGTTACAATGCCTGAGGATGGGTACTTTATAAGAAAAGGAGGCTTATTTAGTTCGCAGTTCTACAATTTAGGGTCATGGTTCTGGCATCAGCTCAGCTCTGGTAAGGACTCGTTGAAGGTAACATCACAGTGATAGGAGTGCATGGAAGAGAGAGTGCTCAGTTGACAAGGCAGTAAGCCAGCATGGGCAGAGAGGGGCCAGCCTTGTTTGTTTTGTATATATAACAATTCTCATGAAAACTAACTCTGATCTCACAAGATCTTTGTCAGTTCCTTCTACATGAAGTTCTACCACTGACTTCCCACTAGGTTCTACATCTCTGAGGTCCCACCACTTACCTCTTAACCTCACCACATTGAGGACTAAGCTACCAGCACATGAAGACTCTGGGGACACTCAAGCATCAGCAATCTGCTAAAGCAGCTTCTTGAATGACAGAGATATGCACTAGCTACTTGCTTAAGTATTTGTCATGCTAAGTTTAGAATTAATAGTCATTGATTCTAAATTGTCGTCTTCAACTGCCTTCACTCAACAGAAAACTGCAAAATGTTACCTTTAAAAACAAGACACCACATGTGAATATTTATAAAGCAAAAATCTCAGTTAATCTTTACAACCCCCTTAGGGATTTCTTTCAACTGTCCCTATGCATATTTCTGTTGTCTCAAAAAATAAGGAGCCTGGAAGTAGGGAATTAACTTTCAGGTCATTTATGTCAGCACTGTCTGTCATCTCCTTCCTCTTCACCCTCTCCTGGGGGTGTCAGTGCGGCCCTGAGCACAGCAGCACTCCTAGTGAGCCACAGGTCTGGGCTTTACATGTAGTCATGTAGGCATGGTGGTATCTGGTAATGCCTGTTTTAAGAAAATTTTAAGGGTTTTACACAGGGTCTCATGTATCCCAGGATAATCTTGAACTAACTATGTAGCCCTGAACATCCTATTCGCCTGCCTTCTTAGTACTGGGATTGTGTGAGTGAACCACCAGACTCAGTTGATGCAGTGCTGGGGATTCAACCCAGGGCTTTGCACTTTGTAGGCAAGCACTCTACCCACTGAGCCACATCCCTGGTCCTCAAGAAGATACTTTTAAGAAGGCTTGAGAAGCATGGAAGAAGGACGTTGTTGAATGTGTGTGATGGCGGTCCGTGTCTGCTGCAGGTGTTCTTATTTTAAAAATGAGGAAATGAACAAAGAAATTAAAACAAGAAAACAAAGATGAAATACTGAATTTCAAAGCCAACTTAGTCCCATTTTTTGAATTCTCCATTGTGTGTCTTTGTGCTGAAAAGCTCTCTGGTTAAATCCACATTTAAACATATATACACCTATATCTTATCTTGAATTACATTTGGTTAGTATATATTTGAGTGCCCTATTGAACCAGACACAGTGATGTTATGGGGAGCATTTCTTACCTATTCAAAATAAATACAAATATACCATTTCTTTACCTGCAGTATTAAAAATCTTACTAGGAAGGGCTGGAGAGATAGCTCGCTGATTAAAAGCACTTGGTGCTCTTGTAGAGGACAAGAGTTTGGTTCCCAGCACCCACGCCAGTTGACCAAGAACTGCTATAACTCTAGCTCAAGGGAATCCAGTGCCCTCTTTTGACCTCCACGGGCATCTAAATACATGTATGTATACTAATGTGAGTGTGTATACACACACACACACACACACGTGAACTTTGCAGGCAAAATATACAAGGCCAATATGTAATACTAGGCCAAGATGTAACTCAGAGGGAAGGTACAAGTCCCAAATGGATGAATTCTATCACCAGTACTGCAGAGAAGGAGGAATGAGCTGAGACAATGTTAAAGTGGTCATATTGTAGTAGTATATCTGTGTTCAGAAGAGTCTACCTCATTGTCAGCCTGGCTTATTTATAACCAGTAGAAGTTTGTTTGACTCATGGTATTTGAGCCTGGGACGTTAGAGCATAGCACTGGCATCTGTCAAGGGCCTCTGTGCTCTGTCATAACATGGTGGTAGGGCAAGTGAGTGAGGTAGGACAAAGGATCCAAATTCAAATCTGTTTTCAGATAACCAACTCACTCTCCCTCTTTTGATAATGATGTCAATCCATTAATGAGGATAGGGTGCTTATGACCTAAAGATTCCACTTCTTAGTGCTGTTATAATGGCAATTAAAGTGCTACATGACAAGCTATAGCACTCTTCATTACATCCTTAAGACAGCTCTTTATTATCCCCACTTTTCAAATGCAGAAACTGAGGTTCATAGAGGTAAAAGTAATACAAGTGGTGGAAGTGAGTTAAACCTAGGTGACCTGGCTGCAGTGCTGTCTGGCCACTGCACTGTGTTGCTTTTGTGTGACATCTAGAGCAGTAAGAACATAGGACTTGGGAAGGGGAAAAAATGGGGTTTATAACCCACTTGATGAATTGCTTTTGTGATCAGAGTTGCCCAGAATTTCAGTGAAGTAAGACAGACTACTATGCTTACAGGGGCTCCAATAGGCTTTGCTTGTAGAGTGCTTAAAGGGTGCTTAAAAGCTTTGGAATTATATATACTTGCTGCAGTAGTTCTGAGCTGCCGTTTCTAATGTTGATGATTCCTTTTGCTGTTGTTTTTGAGACAGGGTTTCCCTGTAGCCCCAGCTGGCCTGGAACTTGCTATATAGACCAGGCTGGCCTCGACCTCACAGAGATCCACTTACCTCTGCCTCCTGAGCACTGGGATTAAAGGGGTGTGCCACCATGTTTGGCTGATAAGTCCTTTTTTACATGGTAGAAGAATAAGATATTATTTCTGTGTCTTACTCAGTGCACAGTATGTTACAGAGAATGAAGGGTTTTTTTGGTTGTTCTCCATCTATAAGTTGAAATGCTTTTTGTCAGTTCTGAGAGTCTTCTCTGAGTACAGTTAAGCAGACCATCATATAGCAGTTTGGGTCAAACCAAATTTGTGTGTTTCTTACTCTTCAAATTACTAAAGATTTCATGGACTAAAACTTTGGCAGATCAGAATTTCAAACTTTGGATTCTTCTTTGTGACTCATTGGTGGTCAGATCGTCTCTGTAAGGAGTGTAAACAGACCAGCTTGCATTCCCAGCCAGACCTCCTTCAGAGAGTAAACCATTTCATAAACTCTGTATTCACTATGACTTCATTTTTTTTTTTTTAATATTTCAAATAGTGAAACGTGTTCCTGGAGCTTCGGAGTATCCCATGAAAGACTTGAGTACCCCTCCCAGTTCTTCAGGAAATGGAGGGAATGTGGGGCCTGCGACCAACCCCGCCAGAAGCAGTGATATGTTATACCTCATTGTTGGCTGTGTGCTCGGAGTTATGGTCCTTATTCTTATGGTTTTCATCGCAATGTGCTTGTGGAAAAGTCGCCAACAGAATGCCATACAGAGTGAGTCATTTATAAGTATTTCCTTGTATTTTTCTAAAGATGGGTAGAGAAATATTGTCAGAATAAATATTGATTCCTAACACACTAGGGTATTTGTGCCATGGAATGAAAGCTGTTAGATACTCTCCACTCAGAGGAGGTGACTTTAAAACCATTCATGCTGTCAGCCAAAGTAAGTGGAGCATCAAATTAAATTGCCCAACAGAAATAAATGCCAAGCCAAAACTAAGCAGATCTCTAAGTAAATAGCTGACTTGGTGCTGGGAAAGTCTGGCTTTGTTGGACCACCAAAGAGGATGAGTGCTTGAAACATGAGCTCTGGAATCACTGTAGGAACATCTTCGTGCTGGTACAAGTCTGGTCAACAGGGAGCAGAAATAGCTTGATGGAAACGAAGGTAATGAAGACATTTCTGAGTTACTGTCAGTAAGTGACATGAGCAGGGATAACATGGTCCTGCCTCTGTACCTGCTGTACCCAAACTCTGCAGTGGTGTCATGTCTCCCAAATATGTCTAGTCAGAGGTGCTTGCAGGATTGCTGATGGTACTGTTTTGACACTAACAACTTACCTTTCCTGCCCTCCAACTATTTAAAAATACTATGACCAAATCAAACAGGTGTATCAGACTTTGATGGGAGGAAGATTTTCCCCTTTGGCTCCAGATTAAGGAAATGAAAGAAAAGCAAAAAGAAACCAAAAGTGATAGGCACTTCCAGGGTCTACTGGCCAGTTCTACCCATTTCCTGAGGTAACTGCTCAGGAAAAAAGAAAAAAGGCATCTATTTTGATTGGATGATACCTTCCAAGAGAGGAATGAAGAGAGCTGGTGTCAGGCTGAAGAAGGGCTTGTGATCATTTGATTGGGACTTACTGTAAATGGCTTTAATGCTGTTGCTTTTGTTGAAGCATAAAGTATTGTTCCAGTTATCTGAGCAGGATTATTATAATAAAAAGCCATTTTCCTTTGTGACCTGATAATATATTTCCATAAAAATGGAAAATTATCACGAGTGTGTTTTCAGTCCTTTACTCACCAGAAGAAACTTACTGTCTTCTGCGTCCAGACATTTTGCTGAACAATGAAGATAAAATAAGTATAGCCTACTCTCTCAAAGAGCACAGGTTAGTAGGGAAGATAAACAGGTGTACTGAGGATATATGCCTGTGTGAGAAAGCACAGGGAGAGGAGAAGCTGTGGAGAGGAGGGCATGTCTCATTCTTAGGGATCTATTACTTTTTCTAAATGCATCTGGTAGGTGTGCCTCTGAAAAATCAGAATTTGCTCAAATGCTTTAAATATAAGGAAATAGAATTGCCTTTTGCCTTTGATACCTCATAGCCTCCACGTGACTGTAATGACAAGAGGAGCTAGGGGAGCAGTCAGTGAATGGACACACATCATCTTTGTTCCTGAAAGTGCTGCTCACCAATGTTTCAAATGTTGCTAAAGTTGATATCCGATGTTGGACACAGTTGTTTTCAGCTCTGAGGCATGTGGGAGTCTAACACACTCACTTCTCGGTGCCAGCACTTTGATGGTTTCAGCTTGCACAATTTATTCTCTTGGGAGTGATTTCTGTCTGGTTAATTTTTCCTCCTCATAACAGAATCACACTTAACTCAAAAGTTCCTGGTCACTTCCCCGCCATAAAGCAAATAACAGCAGCAACCTTATTAAAGCTTTATGGAAACATTTTGGCATGTTTTGTTTTAGCCTTATTTGTAGTTTCTCAGTGATTTCATTAATAATATTTTCTCCGCAGGAGATGATTCTTTTCAGTATCTGACTTTGTTTTCCTTTTTAAGAATTTTTGTTCTTTTTAACAGAATATGACCCACCAGGATATCTCTACCAAGGGTCAGATATTAATGGGCAGATGGTAGAGTATACCGCTCTCTCGGGAACAAACCGGATCAATGGGAGTGTTCACGGAGGCTTCCTCAGCAATGGCAGCCTCAGCAATGGCTGCTCCCATCGCCACCATAAAGGCCCCAACGGAGTCAGTGGGATCCTGAATGGAAGCTTAAATGGAGGGCTTTACCCTGCACACACTAACTCGCTAACCAGGACGCATGTGGAGTTTGAACATCCTCACCATCTAGTGAATGTAAGAGATCTCATTATAAGTAATAATAGCTTCTCTGTGCCACAGTTCATGGCAGGGTGCAAGAACTGGTGAGCATGCTTGGTTGTTTTCACTGTAGACGCATCACAAGTTCATGTACACAGCCATGCTGTGTATTACTAGCAGCTCCAGATCAAGAGTAATCTTCATCCGTCTTTGTCATCAGTAATAGCTGGGTTTGTCAGCATGGTTTCTAGTTTTAAATTATTTACCACAAAGTGGAATACAGGAAAGAATAGATCAGGAGTTATTCTTAAGAGAAAATGGAAATACCATTGGACAAACACCAGACCAGATGCTTGACATTTGATTTATTGGGAGTTGAGTCTTAAAAAATTAATGCTGTTAAGTCTGGCAGATGGGGAAACTGACCACAGCAAGCTGGGACCACACAGCAGGAGGGTGGTAGCACATTGCTACCCTCATTGAAGGAGTAGCGCCAATTCAGTACCTGCAGCTGTCACGTACAGTGGAAGTCTGGCATTGTTAGGTTCTCGACCTTTCAAAACACCCCAAAAATCGAGATCCTAGATATTATTCAATTTTTTTTTCTTACAATCTGGAAGTGGAACCCAGGTCTTCTCCCATAGCAGATAAGTTTTCTACCACTGAGCCACACCTTCAGTTTTATGCAGACCATGAAAAGGTATTCTATAGGGTGCCAGGTTGTAGCTTCTGACCTACTATGAGTTTGTTTTGCCCAGTGTGTTTTATTTCTGTGACTTACCAGCTTTTTGCATTTTATAATATTAACATTCATTAGCCACAAGTAATTGCAAACCCTTAAAGCTTCCTTATTTCTGAGACCAATAACAGTTTCATTTTTGTGTTGAGAATAGAATGACTGGCATATTTTAGGTTTATCTGGTTAAAGGGTTCTTTACTTACCAGAGTTTGATTTATTATATTCTTTGTATGGGCATCCATGTTGCCTTTGAATCTGATAGAGAATATGTTTAGTTGATCAAGAACATTCATTTAGTTTTTACCATTGCTTGATTAGAGAGAAATTTGCCATTACCCATAGTGTACTATAATCTGAAGAAGTTAACAGTTTTTATTTTATCTTTACTTTAATGAAGATACACTAAAATACAGTTGGAAAACTGTAAAATGCATTTGTATCTTAAAGCTACAAACTTACGGCTTTTATGTGAGGGATTTTTGTACATAATACAGTTTGCTTTAGTTTCCTTATTTGCATTACCAAAAGAGAATACAAATTTCATTATTTTTTGAGGAAAGACATGGCTTATATTCAGACTTTCTAAACTTTTTTGTCATCATTCCTAGTTCATCATTAACCTCATCCAAGGAAGTAAAGGAGAAAACATTATGCTTTGAATGCCCTGTGCTGTTTCTGTAAGAATGAAACATAAGACTGAGGCTTACTTTGAACAGAGAATTCTGTGACATGCCATTTAAATAACAGTTGTCCCATTAGGTGTACAGTTTTAGAAGTTATCACTTGTGATTTTTAATCTATTAGTTTTCTTATTCTTCTGGATAGGAAGAAATGAAGAAAATCAATTAGTTTTAACATATTTATGAATTCAAATGAAATACATCACCTTACAGGACATAAACTTCATTTTCTGATCTTCTGCAGCTTGCCCTCATGGACTGAATATAGTGTGGGGATATTCTTGCTCTGTGTTTTTTTTAATCATTCCTGTTGCTAGTTGGATCAGGAATGCTGAAAGAAAATTTAAGTCTTGATTTGCTTGGCTGTTGTTAACAAGATAAATGAAATGGAAAATATTCTACCAAAAACAATTGCCCAAACTTTTCCTAGCTTTGAAGGCTTGCTTTGGGTTTGGGTACAGTGTGACAGCCTCTTCCACCCCTGTCAAATTCAGGTCTGCTATTTTCACCAGAAAGCAGAACTCTGAATCGAAGGCTGGTTGAATCTTTAACTTCATGTTTGTCATTATGTTTGTCAAGTGAACGTTTTACAGTGAGGTATGTGTTAATCTGGGCATTTTTCTTAATTGCTGAGCAGTGTCCGCCAAAAGCAACATCAAAATATTAATTCTTCCCAAGTCATTGCTGGCTGAGACTCCACTCCATCTGGAAAAGTATGACGTTTTAACACAGTGCAGTCAAGTGAGCAGACCTAATCGAAATAATTACAGGAAAATGAAGATAGGTTGATCTTGTGACATCATTCAAACACTTCACACCTTGTTTGTCTAACTGGCATCACATAAGGTTTTTCCATGACTGCTAGAAAAGAAAAAAAAATGATTAGAAGGTTATGATGTATATTTTAGGGCATAAGTTTGAAACACTGAAGGAAGTGACTAACCTCCCTTCATTTATTTGCCTTTTTCCAGTACAGAAGTATGGAAAATATGGTGCTAAGCTTTGGGAGAGTATACTTTGCAGAGCTCACTTGTGAATAAGCAGTGACATGACATTGCTCAGGGAGAGGGTTTAAATGCGCCACACAGCTTCTTATGTGTTATTGAGGTGTATATATGATTTTTTGGGTGGTCTGTGGCCTTTTCAAATTCTTCTTTTCTTTCTTCTTGAACTTCCTTCCAACCAGGGTGGAGGGATGTACACAGCAGTCCCCCAGATGGGCCCTCTGGAATGTGTCGGCTGTCGAAATTGCCGGAACAACAATAGGTATGTGCTCAGTCACATTGCTGTGATGAAGACATATATGTTGGTTTATTGTTTTCCTTCAGCAGAGGAAGTTCTTGAAATTTGACCTCAGGTACAAAACTCAGAATTCACGGTCCAAAGTTTAAGGCTGTTACTCCTTTTTTGCCCCATTCTAGACGTGTTACCTTGTGCCTCGGTTTTTAGACATGTAGTGACAATACTAAAGGCTTTGTTTCTTAACAGAAATATCATTGAAAGGTAGAGTTATTCTCTCTCTGCTGCTTTTATCTTTTTCCCATTTGTTATTTTTCTGTTTGTGTTGGGATGCTGTGACGGTAAATGTAATCAATCTTGTTTAAGCATTAAGGAAAACAAAAAGCATCTCCTGTATATAAAGTAATTTTGCCACAGAAATATTGCTGAAATTTTCCTACTAGATTATTCAGTATTTTTTCTTAATTCTTAAAATTTAAAGATATTTAAGAAGTAAGATCTTGCCTCTGTGCGCGCGCGTGTGTGTGTGTGTGTGTGTGTGTGTGTGTGTGTGTGTTGTGTTTGTGTGCGCACATGGCTGTGGGTACACGTGTGTGCCTATGCATGTGGAGCTCAAAGGACAATTGTCATTCCTTAGGGCTACCTTGTTTTTTGAAACAGGGTCTCTCATTGGCCTGAAACTCATCAAATAGTCTAGGCTGGCTGGCTAGTGAGCCCAGGGATCTTGCTCTCTCTGCCTCCCCAGTGCTGGGATTATAAACACATTCCACTAGACCTGGATGTTTTATGTGGGGGGATTGAACTCGGGGCCTCATGCTTACATGGCAAGCACTTTGCTGTCTAAGCTATCAATCCAGGCCAAACCTTGCTTTATAAATTTACATTGTTTAATTGTAAAAGTGATATATACTCACAATATTTCAAATAATATAAAATTATTTAGAGTAATATGTATATCTAAATTTTGACACATGGAAGCTAGGGATGGTGGCAAATACCTATAATCCCAGTACCCTGTAATGCCAAGATTTAGGAGTCATGGTCAAAAGAATCACAAATCAAGACCAGCCTGGGTTACATCGTAAGATCCTATCTTCAAAACACAAATCATCTGGGTGTGGTGGCACGTGCTTTTAACCCAGCACTTGGGAGGCAGAGGCAGGTGGAGCTCTGTGATTTTTGAGGCCACCCTGGTCTATGTAGTGAGTTCCAGGCCAGCTGGGGCTACATAGTGAGACTGTTTCAAAAAACCACAAACCAAATAAAAATCCACCATCTTTTACACATAAAATATCAGAAAGCTTTCATACTACTTTGGTATAAATTATTAATTACAAAGGACTATCTAAAGTTTTGTTCAAAATCTCAGTTTTTGGGAGCTGGAGCTCAGGGGTTAAGAGCAGAGGACCTGGGTTTGGTTTCCAGCACCCACATGGTGGTGGCCAGCAACCATCCATGGCTCCTTTTCTAGGGCATCTAATGCTCTTTTCTGACCTCCATGGGCATTGCATGCATATGGTGCACTTACATGTGTGCAGTCAAAAGACATATACATAAAATAAAAATAAATTTAAAACATTTTAAGAGTTAGTTCTTGTTGAGGACTGGTAGTAAAGGCCTTTAATCCCAGCTATGTGGGAGGTTGAAGCAGGATTGTAGGTTCAAGGCCACCCAGGGTGTGAGGGAGACTCTTAGTTCTTCCATGAACTTCTGTGTATATTAATCCAAGGATTGTTGAAATTGCATCAGAAATCTTAGTTCTTTTAGATAATTAGGGCATTGGAACTGGTCAAGCATACAGCTGTAAAAGCACATAATTTGAAGCAGACAGAGTGTATGCTAAAGCAAGAGGATCTTGGGTTTGAAGCTAGCCTGGACTACATAGTGAGACCTGTCTCAGAAAAACCAGAAAGTATATTGTTTTAGAAAGTCTCAGAAAAAAGCAGCAAATCTTGACTGCTTTTAAATTTTTTCCTTAACCCACCATAAGGTTTGTTGAATAACAAGAGCTGTCTACCTATTTGATAAGTATTAAGAGTGCATTAAATACTTCCATTCATATGGCAAAGCCAGATTTCTGTCCAGTTTGTCACAGACTACCACAGTTTGTTAGGAGAACATGTGAGGGAACTTGTCCAACCTATGTGTAGTAGCTTGTGCCTCTAATCCCAGCACTTGAGGCAGAAGGATTGCCATGAGTCTAAGGCCAGCCTGGGCTACATAGTGAATTCTAGGTCAGCCTGGCCTACAGAACAAGATTATCTCAAAGAAGTAGAAAGAAAGAAAAGAAAGAAGGAGAAAGCACTATAAAGCCAGTTTATGCATTTGGTAGTAATCAGGTGGATCAATTGTAACAAAAGGTTTTGCATCCTCTGTTGTCCTTCACAGTTCTTGTATTCATTGCAGATCTTGACTCATCTTATGCATTAGAGTGTTGTAATGAGGGACCTTTGGTCTAAGAAGTAGTAGTCCTGGGCTTTGCTGCTGCTTAAACCTGTCATCTTGGAAAATTTGTATAGTATCATAGAGGTTTTGACATGATGCAGAAAATGAAGGAATATTTTAAGTAGTATAGGATTGATCCTAACACAGCACAGTAAAGAGTTTGAGAATCATGTCTTTAGGATGAGATTCCCATCTTAGTACCAAAAATAGATTCCATTTCCTTTGAAGAATTTAAACAACTCACATCTTCAGTTTGGCCACTTGGGTGTATCTGTGTAGTATCAATGATTTTTATTATAAATGGCTTTTTTCCCTTTAAGAAAATAGAGAATTAAAAAAAAATTAATAATTTTATTTCTATTACTTTCAAGTTAGTTACTTTCTACATTTCAAGTTTTTGAATTTCAGTGCTATCTGGAAACAGGAGAATTCCTTCAGCTTCATTTCTCCCTGGCTTAAGTGTTCTTCCTGCATAAAAACCTCCATGTTCAGTGCAGCTCTTTAGTGTCTGCTTTGCCTTATGATTTGCCAAATACCTTCCTTGATTCCCAGGAGCCACGGTGTAGTTTTGACATTTAGTAACTAGACAAACTGGACGTCATAGTGCATGCCTCTAATCCCAACACTCAGGAGGTAGAGGCAGAAGGATTGCTAGCTTGAGGCCGGCCCATGCTATATAATGAGTTTGAGGTCAGCCTGAACTACATAGCAAGATTCTGCCCCTGAAAAACCCAAAGGCTAGAGATGCAGCTCAGTGGTAGAGCACTTGCCTCACAAGAGCAAAGCCTGGGATTTGATGCCCAGCTAAACATCAGGGTCTGGACAGACTGCATAGTAGTTAAGAGCACTGGCTGCTCTTGCAGAGGACCCCTTGAGGTTTCCCCCCACCCACCTTGGTATGTCAACTGTTTTTGTTATTATATGCAGATCTTGTTAGACTGCCATAGAGTAGAAATTTCATTGGTGTAGCTTCCCTAGCATGTCTAGAATGCCTTAACTAGCAGCAGGTGTCTTGTCCCTTTGGCTCTTACATTCTTTCTGCCCCCTTTTCTGAGATGTTCCTTGAGCCTTAGGTTTACATGTTGCATTGTAGATGTGTCACATGGGGCTGGGCACTTCACAGTCACTTATTCTGTGTTTGACCCGTTACAGAACTTTGTAATAGTCTCCATCTGTTGCAAAAAGAAGCTTCTTTGATGGGTGGTGAGAGGTACACTTGTCTGTATACATAAGGATATGTTTTAAGAGTATAATAAGAAATTATGTTGTTCTAGGGATGTGACAAAAAAATAAGTTTTTCTCTAGGGTCTCTGCCATCTCCAGGCATGTGTTCATGGCTATATTTACAGTATCATACATGAGTTCTCGCCCACTGAGTGAACCTTAAGTCCAATTAGTCAGTTGTTGATTACCCCCAAGACAAAAGTGCCACTACTATACCAATAGAGATTATTTGTCGGACCGGTCATTGTTGTGGTTTTTAGGCTTTATAGCTGGGTAGGACCATTTGTTGGTTTTTTTCCCCTTGGCAGCTTGCATAGTATCTTTTGATACTTTGAGAACTAGTCTTCAGAGAGGAGGCTTCCAGGTTCATTCCAACTCAAGTTGATCTAAGTCCTATGTCTGAAGTATGTCTTATCTTCAGCAATAAGGTCTTCCCTCACATTCTGGGAGGCAAACAAAGGCTGTGGCAATAGCCTATATTATTTTGGAGGTCTTTTGGACTAACCTGACCAACAGCACAAAGGGAGGTTTCCTTTGCTTGGCACTGTGATTTTTCTGTTATGTAGCCTTCACCTATACACATGTACTCGTATGTGTATTGTATGTGTGCTTTTCAGTAGGTTTATTAAATGCTATATTTCCCTTTGGCATTTTATACCACCTAAGCATTATCTTTCTTTCCTCTCTCTGCCCCTACCCTGTTCCCAGTTGGAGTTTACCCCATTGCTCCCTTGATAACACCTGTCTCCTAATATTCCCCTCTCTCAAGGTCCTTCTTCCCCTTTACCCTCATGGTTCCTTTCCATTTTCCTGACTCATGGTTACGCCGGGGTATATGCTCACATCTAAGGATTTGGAACTAGGATGCACAAATAAAAGAGAACATGTGTTGCTTGTTTTTCCAATTCTGGGTTACCTCACTTAATATAAAGTTTCTAGTTCCATCCATTTATCTGCAAGTTTCATGATTTTGTTTTTCTTCACTACCAAGTAGAACTCCATTGTGTAAATGTGGAACATTATCATTATTCATTCATTGGTTGAGGGACATTTCCTAGCTATTGTGAAGAGCAGCAACAAACATGGCTGAGCAAGTAAGATATTGAGTCCTTTGGACATATGCCAAGGAGTGGTATAACTGAATCATATGGTAGATCTATTTTTAGTTTTTAAAGAGTTCTTCACATTGATTTCCATAGTGGTTGCACCAGTTTTCAATCCCACCAGCAGTGAATGAGAGTTCTCCTCTCCCTACATCCTTGCCGGCAGTTGGTATCATTTGTTCTCTTGATCTTAGCCATCTGAACTGGCTTTTAAGAACACTCTTGGTGCAGTTTGGAAAATAAATGAGAGGTGGT